AGCGTGGCTAGTGCCTTGTGTTACTGCTTGGGTCTGCTTGACACTTGGCACCTGCTTGGCTAGGTCTTAAGGACTGTGGAGACTCCTGCAGCCGGCGCCGACCTGGTCCCGCTATCCTGTAGGTCTGTACTTGGCACCTGCTATGTGCCAGGCACTGGCCAGGGCCCAGGCTTTCACAATGGAGTGGCCATGGCGCCATCCTCAGTAGCCCTCAGCCTTGGCACCCAGGGTGAAGGGCTGGCTGTGCCCTGCACTGCAGGAAGTGTTCTTGAGTGGGTAGGTAGGAGATGAGACCCCTACCCCAACTGAGAGACTCTGGGAAGGCTTCCTGGAGGAGGTGTTATATAAAACGGAGCCAGGCTGGAGTGAGCCAGGAAACAGGTGGAGGAGTTTCAGGCCCAGGGAACAGCATGTTCAAGGCTAGAGGCGAGAGAGCCTGACATGTTCCTGGAATGACCCAAGGCTGGGGGCGGAGAGCAGGTCAGGCCAGAGCACGGGTCACTGTGGGGAGGTGGGAGCTGCCTGCTGCCTTCCTGGCCTGGTGCCGATGGCTGTGGCTGGCCGGGCACCCCAGGAAACCTTCCTGCCTTCAGAATTGCAGTGGCTTCTGGGGTCTGGGAGAGGGGCGATCTTCATGGAGGGCGGCCAAGGGCTCCTGGGGGGGCTGTGGACACTGTGAACAGTTGCTCCAGGCAGTGGGCAGGGGATTCCAGGCAGGTCCTGGCCCAGAATAAACCCTGGTTCATCTGAGGGTCAGCCCAGAGACCGTGTGTGGATCATCGGCCTGGTGAGAGATCTGGGAGTGACGCTGGGTCGGCCGTCTAGTTTTACAGCCGGGGACACGGGCCAAGGCCAGCGGGCAGCCTGGGGTGGCCAGCAGGTGGGCCCGGGGCCGGCAGCTCTGGGCCCTGTGTGGGTTCTCAGGGCTGGAGGAGAAGCCTGAGGGCTGGGGCGGGGGCGCTTTGGAAGCAGCGGCTCCCTGGTGTGGAGCAGGAGCGCTGGCTTCTGGCCAGAGAGCATTCTCGGTGTGAGAGTTTGTGTTAGTGGCCGGGGGGTTGCTGAGAGTCTGTAAAATACTCCCCAAAACAAACAGCAAACACCTCGCGTCCTGCAACTCAATGGCAGAGGCCACTCAGAGAAAACAAGCTGCCGCCCATCCTCCCTCCCTCCCTCTGCTCCTCACCCCACCCACCCCTCACAGCCTGCTGGCCTCCCTTCTCCGCATGTGGGCAGATCGTAGCAAGCCTTGCTAGTTATTATTTATTTATTTATTTACTTATTTTTAAATTTTATTTATTTATTTATTTTTGAGACGGAGTCTCGCTCTGTCGCCCAGGCTGGAGTGCAGTGGCCGGATCTCAGCTCACTGCAAGCTCCGCCTCCCGGGTTCACGCCATTCTCCTGCCTCAGCCTCCCGAGTAGTTGGGACTACAGGTGCCCGCCACCGCGCCCAGCTAGTGTTTTTTTTTTTTTTTTTTTTGTATTTTTAGTAGAGACGGGGCTTCACCGTATTAGCCAGGATGGTCTCAATCTCCTGACCTCGTGATCCGCCCGTCTCGGCCTCCCAAAGTGCTGGGATTACAGGCGTGAGCCACCGCGCCCGGCCAGTTACTAATTTTTTAAAAGAAAAATGGAATTCAGATTTGTGTTTCCTATCAAAGTTGATACCTTCCTTAGGAAGGAGGGCACTCTTCCGCCAGCCCCACTGGTTGGGGCAGAAGAAGGTGGCCCCTCTGTGGGCGCAGCCAGGCCTTCTCGTGGAGGCCCAGAGGGGTGCCCTCAGCCACGGAGCCTGCCCGTGCCAGCCGTCGCACCTCGCAGTGCCCAGGGTTGTGGGAGTCTAGGAGCTTTGGTGCCTGGAGGGGTGCGTTTGTGTGCATGTGTGTGTGCCGTGCTCTGACCTGTGCGTGTGCCCACGTGCCCCGTCCACACCGCCCCCGTCTATGCTCTCTCCCTCCCCCGCGGGGGCAGAGGTCCCTCCAGTGCCCCAACCACAGCTCCCACTGCTGCCCTGTCGCACCCTCTGTTCTCTCTCCTCCCCCGCCGCCCCCCACACTCTGCTCAGGCAGCCTTGAGCTCATGATTCGACAGCCCGGCCAGCTGCGTGGCCTCGGCCAGGGCGACCTTTGTGTGTTGGAGCCTTGCCGTGTTCTCTGTCTATAGAAGGTGATGCTTAGGGAGCTTTCAGAGAACCGGTGAGACCTGTGCTGGCTGGCGCATCTCGGGTGCTCAGCACGTGGGCAGCACCCTCCCTGGCTGTGTTCATGGGGGAAACTGGGCACTGGGCATGGAAATGAAAGCGTGGTAGGGAGGGACCTCCTGGCTCCTTGCAGCCGAGACCAGTCAGGGACGCAGCCCTAGGGATCTGGCTGGGCCTGTGGGCTGCAGGGGCTCAGGAGGGAGGGAAGGGGCATGGTGAGGGCACCTTGGGCGTCGAGTCTCCGAGGGAGTGCAGGAAGCATCTCCTTACTTGTGGCGGGCAGTGAGCGGGCTGACCTCTGGGCCACGTGTTCACCAGCTGAGTGTGCGTCTGTGTGCCCTGACTCCATGCCCGCCCCCGTCACTGTCCCTGACCTGTCAGCCGGGTTTTCCTGGCAGCCCTGTGGCTGGTGGCCTAGGGGCCGCCCCGTGAGGGGCTGGCACTGGGAGTGGGGACCTGGCCAGTCTTGGTCAACCTTTGGGGATGGAGCCCCAAGCTCGCTGCATCCGTGCTGGGTACTGAGATCAGGCATTCTCACCCTCTCCGTGCTCTGCATTCATTTCTGGGGGCCTCTGGCAGTGTTGGGGCTACTGATCTCGGCCAGCCGCAGGGGTGTTGGATCCTTGATGGCGAGCTGGCTGCCCTTCCTGGGCCACGTGCTGTCCCACATGGCGTTGTCCCCATCACTGCCTGACCAAGGGCAGGTGGCCAGGAGCATGGGAGGACCAGAGCATGGGAGGGGCCCCCAAGTGTCCAGCACAGTTGTGGGGCTGGGCCCTCCTTAGAACTCAACCCTGCGTGTGCTGGCATCAGTGATGCTCGGGAAGGCACGCGTGTCCTTCCTGTGCAGCTGGGTGAAGTCTCCGTGTGTGTGTGCCCTGCAGCCGGCACTCCTACACCCCCGGCTCCCGCAACCCCTCGGAGATGACCGCTGTCCCAGCTTCCCTCTCCGGGACCACTTCTGTCTCTTTTTGGCCTTTGTGAAAACAGAGGTCAGTTTGGATGTGGGGGTCAGGGAGGAGCACTCTACTCTTGCAGAGCTTTAACATTTTTATTCCAGCCTCCAGCTTCGGCCCGATTTTCGCCGTCTGTGTGTGCATTTTGATCTGTCACATTCTCCTGTTCTGCACACCGGCTTCTGTCCCCAGGAAGCCATCTTGCCGCTCCCTCCTACAATCTCCATCAGAGCCAGTATGGGGGACATTGCGTGAGCTGATGGGGTACTGAGCAGGGACCCTCCTGCTCTGCCCCCCTTGGAGGGGCTGTGAGAGTCCAGGTGTGTGGCGGAAGAGCCCAGCTGGGGCAGGTGGTGTGCAGCTCAGCGTCGGCCAACCTGAGAATCCAGGTGTGTGAGGAAGGGAAACTGGGGCAGGTGATGGGCAGCTCAGCGTCGGCCAACCTGAGAATCCAGGTGTGTGCGGAAGGGCCGAACTGGGGCAGGTGATGGGCACCTCAGCATTGGCCGATCCCGGGCCCGTCCCTGAGAATCCAGGTGTGTGCGGAAGGGAGCTGGGCAGGCCTGGCCCTCGTGCTGTCCTCCTGGACTAGTGGCCGTGGGGGTGGATGGTGGTGCCCTGGGTGATGAGCAGGTTTCACAGTGACTGTGGCTGGGAACGAGGAGCCAGCTCGGCAGGAAGCTGGCAGCCACCCAGGGTTCTGGGCAGGGCTGGGGCAGAGGGTACAGGCAAGGCACAGAGCTCCGGGGGTGCCAGGCCACCCTGGCTGCTTCCTGGGGAATGAGTTCCTGGCTGGATGCTGTCATCCTAGGCAGATAGGCGAGTTCTCCGTCGGCCAGGTCGGCGTTGGGGAGCCAGACCAGTGCCAGTGTTGCTGCCGTCACCTGAAGGTGTGTGTACCGGCCAGTGCCTGTGCAGGGGGTCCTTACTACTGTGCGGTTTAACCCTTGCCACCCAAGAGGGCTGTGGCCATCTGCATCCAGAACGAAGATGGTGAGCTGAGCCGGCCTGGTCCCATAGGGTCCCGTGGCCTGGAGGCGAATGTGGATGCTTGTTGGTTTATTTGCTTAGAGGCAGGCTCCTGGGTGCTGAGGGAACAGGCTCTGGCCCCTGTCACCTGTCCCAAGGAGCAGTGCCTGGGGCACGTAACGAAGTGGTGGCCCTCCTTGCCCCTGCCAGCCTCAGGACTGTGGCCATTAGGCTGGGTTGGCCGCTCAGAGTCACAGGAGAGGCAGGTAGGGAGCGCTGACCCCAGGCAGCGGATGCCATCCGGTTGCTTCCAAAGGCAGCCTGGAGTTGGGGTTTGCCGAGGGAAGCTGCTCTGCAGACCCCAGGCTGTGAAGCACCCCAGCCTTGCAGGGGTGCCTGCAGGAGTCCAGGCAGCCTCGGGAGCGTTCCCTGGAGCCTGGAGGGCAGGAGCCAGGCCATCCTTGGCTGTGACTTTGTTTTGTTTCCTCAAGTCAGATTGTCCTGCTCCATCCTGTGCCCGGAAGAGAGGTCCTGCCCCTGTCCGTGGGTGGGGACACACGTCTCTTGCCTTCCCTCCTTGTGGGTGGGGGTGGACCTCAGCCACACCCATGTGTCAGTCAGCAAACGCAGCTCCTGCTGGGTCACCTGCCTACCAGCTGAGCTCCTGGGATGCAGCCCAGCCTGTGGGGCCCACCCGGCTCCTCCAACCCTGTAGCTCATCCCCACCACACCTTCTCTGCACAGCAGGACCCGGAATTATGCTGTTCTCGGTTGGACCTGCTTGTCCGTGCTTAGCTGGGCCTTTCCTGATCCCTGTGGGCTCCCCGAGGGCGGGGCTCGGACCTGCCCCGTCAGCAACAGCTGTTGCCAAGGGCACAGATGCCCTGTGCGTGGGGTGGAGATGAAGGAGGGCCAGGAGCTCCGTGACAGACAGTGGGAGGGGAGGCTGTCTGTCCTGTGGTGAGCTGCTTCTGGGGCACTCTGAGACAGGGCCTCCCTTCACTTCCTGGCCATCCAAAGCATCTGTGTCTGCGTCCGGGAAGTCAAGGAGGGCCCCTAGGACTGAGTCGCTGCCCATCACGGACCATCTGTGGCAGGCACTGCCAGTGGCCGTGGCCCAGGGTTTTGGTGGGTCTCCCTCATCAGGGGCTTGCTCCAGGCCTTAGACAATGCTCCCATGCTCCCTGCCAGCCGCAGGGTCTCACCCTCCTGCTCCAGACCCTCTCTGACACCCCACCCTCTGCGGTCCTGGGAGGTAGCAGGACAGCCGCAGCGTACAGATGAGAAGACCTTCGGCCCAGCCTGGGCGGATGCGTGGGTCCAGCTCAGCCTCTCTGTGCCTGTGGTCTGTAGGGACCTGGGCCCAGCTGCCCCTAAGGGTGGAGCTCAACCTTCCCCAGCTCCAACCCTGGGGCCTTGTGTGGGAGGGGCAGTGGCCCTGGGATCTGGCCTTGGCGGCTCCAGCCCCCTCTCCAGTACAGCAGAGCCTGGAGGCGTGCTGGTCTCTCCGTTGGAGACTCAGGCCTCCCAGCCTGCTTCCCCTGGAGGGCGGGAAGGCCTTGGGGTTGTCAGAGCTTCAGGATTAGAGACTCCAGCACAGCAGGGGCTACCTTTTCTGTGCTCCCTGCCTAAGCACAACCTTCCTGCCCTCTCCCCTGCAGCCCCTCTGTTGCTGTGGTCGGTCATGCCGCCTGAGGGCCCAGTGTGGCCTTGGCACTACCACCGTCCACCAGCGGCAAGTCTGGGCAGGTGCGTGTGTTGGAGGTGGCCGTCCGCGGTGTAGGCTGGAGGTGGCGTGCCGGCCCTGTGAGTCACACCGATCCCAGGAGGGGAGTGGGGGTGGCCAGGGCACTGTGAGCTGGCGTGCTGAGGCTGGCCTGCCCATGGCTTGGCCTGGGGGCAGGGGTGGGGTGGGGTCCTGCCTGGGTTCTCCTGGAGAACCTGGGTCGGGAGCCAGGAGCCAGATCAGGGCTGGGGGCTTTGCGTGGGGTCGGATGGGGCTGGGGAGGCTGTAAGAAGCGAGGAACCTCCTATGAGACAGTGGTTGCAAGGAGCAAATGCTGCCTCGAAGGTGGGCGGCCCCCCTGGGAGGAGGCTGCAGGCTGGGAGGTAGACAGGACGGGCCCCTCAGTGTGATGGTTGGGGTGTCCGGGGACGGTACCTGAGAAGGGTTGGTGACCCAGTGCCGTGAGGTCCCTGCTCTCTGTGGCTGCCTTTGTGGCCAGGCCTCGGCCCTCGTGTTGCTGCCCCACGACACCTGGCTGTGGGTTGTCCCAGCTCCTAGGCCAGGTGGGGAGTGAAGCTGGCCACCGAGCCTCAGGGAGCACCTTTGCAATTCCCTGGCACCCAGGTCTGGCCCAGGTCTGAGGCTAGAGGAAAGGCCTCCTCCAGAATCCAGGGCTGCCTGTCCTGAGGTCAGGGGCTTTGAGCTGTAAGCACCTCCTACCTATGGCTGGATCCCCCACTGTCCATCTGCAGTAGAGACAGCAGAGCCCCCGGGAACCCCTCCCAGCAGCTGAGGGTTCAGGGGGTGCCCCTCACTACACCGGGGAAATGTGGCCCTAGGGGAGCAGGAGGTGCAGGACCTGGTCAGACAGAGACTGAGTCTGAACCCGGAGGGGCCTCGGGCCAGCTCCATGATCCAGACAAGGGGTTTTCCTTCTCTGAGCCGCTGCTGCTGCTGTCAGAGCCCGCAGTGGGCACTGATTTGAAGAAGGACAGACATGGGCTGGGAGGGTTGAGGGAGGCCCTGGAGACGGGGACCCTGGGGAGGGAGATCTTGGAGCTGCAGAGGCTTTGAAGAGGCAGGGCTGTGGGAGTGCGCAGCCAAGGTGCCCGGCCTGGGCTGGGTCCTGGGTCCAGGGGTGTGGCTGGGCTTACCTGATGGTAGAGCCCTGTCCGGAGGAGCTGAGCTCAGACCTTAGCTGACAGCGCTGGGGCAGAGTGCTGAGAGGGGCTCTCTCAGGGCCATCTCTCAGGGCTGGGCCCTGTTGGATCTTCTAAGTGTCTGAGCAGGAGAGGGTAGGCTTCCTGGAGGAGGTGTCCCTGGCAGGAAGATGCAGAGGGAATGACCGTGTGCGCTATAACGGCCAGGCCGGGGGCTCAGAGGGGCTGGTGGGAGACGGTGGGGGCTGGGTGGGGCAGGACGCTATGGTCTATATGGTGCCCACCTGCCCTTCGTCCTCCGTGGCCACAAGGCCCCTGTGGTAGAGAGGGTGGCACTGGCCTTGAGGGGTCTGGCCGGCAGGTAGGAAAGTGAATGACCGACCTCCTGAGGTGGCTTTGAGGGTGGGGCCTCCCGGCTCTGCCTGTTTTCTTCAGTGGCCCTGGTTAGGGCTTTGAAGGGCTTCACTGCAGATTAGCCCGACCTCCCTGGGGTGCTCAGCAGGGTGTGCTGCAAGGTGCTCCCTTGTAAAGTGGCCACAAGGTGCCTTCGGCGTGTGGGGCCCACAGGATAAATTGGATGCAGCCTCCTTTGGGGGGGGGGTGCTGCTCGGATGAAAACCATACTTTTAGGCAGGTGAAGCCACTGCCTCCTCGGTGTAGCAGTCAGTGGGGTCCTCCCCACCTCCCGTCCTCTCCCTCTGTCCCTGGACCCAGGAGTTTGGGAGAGGCCAGCGGGCAAGCTGGGCACTTTGCTCTATAATGACCCTCTACCCCCACCAAGATGCACACAAGCCCTGCCAGGATGTGGGGGGCAGGGCAGCGGGCTGAGCCAAGGTGTAGCTGCTGGGAGATGGTGTTCCCCGCCCCCTGGGCTGGCACCTGCCTCCCGACCTGCTGCTCGCTGCCAGGTGCATGTAGGGAGGAAGGAAGAGGTTTGGGTGGTGTATGTGTGTGCGTGTGCTTTTGACTGGGCTCAGAGGGCTCTGGCTGGGACCCAAGCTCTGGCCTCCAGCACCTTGGCTGGAAGGAGTGAGGCCTGGAGAGACAGTGGGGCTGCAGTGGGGCTCCCTGGGGGCCAGGAGCTGGGTGCTGAGGAGACCGGAGCTGGGGGCTGGGGCAGGGCCAGGGCATCGGGTGGGAAGTCCTGCCCTTGCAGCCTGTCCTGTGGAAAAGCCCCTGGCTGCTGTCTTGGCTTTGCTGGACTGGCAGAGTGGGCCAGAGGCTGGGGACTGGACACCATGGGCCCCTGTGCACTGATGGAGCAGTAGGTGTGTGGGATTCACCGGGTGCTGGGGTGTGGCTTCATGAGGGCGGGGCCTTTTGGGTTATGAGTCAATCCCCTCCAGTTATCCAGGGTGGGGTGCTGAGGCCTGGGTGGGCAGTGTGAGGGTGGGCTGGTAACTGTAACCGCCGGCTCTCTGGGAGACCCTGGTCTGTGGCGTTGTCCTCTCTGAACTGGGAAGACACGTGCGTGAGAACTGGTCCCGGGTGGCCTCTGGTTCTGGCTGGGGAGGCCCCGCCCACCTAAGGGCAGCGTTCAGCGAGTGTGGACTCTGCCCCGGTGCTGGGCGCAGAGTTCTTGGACAGGCCGAATGCAGGCGTAACTTCGGGCTGTCTGGACAGGGCCTGGTTAGTGAGACCGTGGCTGAAGGGCCCAGAAGGGACTGCAGTGGGATTGGAGCCCCCTGGCCGTGCCCCAGGGGCAGGCCCTGGGCTGCTGGGATCTCATGCCGTGGGTGGCTGGGCAGATGTGGCTGTGTGTGTGCACAGAGGTGGGGACGGACAGGGTGGGCCCATCTAAGCCCGTGTCCTGCCAGCGGCTTGCCTGGTGTCAGCACACACGGGTGGGCTGTGAGGGGCTGAGAGCCCAGGACGCCGCACCCCAGAAGGGCTTGCTGTGGGGATCTTTCTATCACTGGTGAGCTGCGTTGGGGTGAGGCAGGATGGAGGTGAGGCTGTCTTGTGTGGCCTGAGCGGGTGTGGCAGGCTGGGAGCCTGTTGCAGGTCAGGATGTGTCCGGGGGCCGGCACCAGACCTGCTGAGGTGGGAGGTCAGTCTGCGCTGGCTCTGTGAGGGGCCCTGCAGTCTCGGACCTTGCCTGTCCCCTCTGGGGCTGAGGTCAACCCTGGGGCATGGCGGGGACGGGGACATGGACCCTCATTCCGAGTCTCATGAGACCGCGCTGCTTCGCCGTCAGTGAGGCTTGCTGGGCATAAATGAAGCACATCGATGGGGTGAGGGCTGGAGGATCCCATGGGGGCCTCGCACCCCCCACTCCCCGCCCCACTCTGGGAACCAGGCCCTCAGGCAGCTGGTGAGGATTGGGGGGTTACAGCTGAGGTGGCAGTTGGCATGGTGGCACGGTGCGCCTCTTGGGAATAAAGCTTCGACCTGGGCTGCATGAGGACAGGTAGGTGGGCTGTGACACTCAGTCCAGGCAGAACCGTCCCATCCCCTCGTCCGTCTGTCAGATGAGCTTGTCCAGGTTCCAGGCCCTGAACCAGATGAACAGAGAGCTGGAAAGTTCAGAGGAGGGAGGAGGGACCCCGGCCAACACCCAGGAGGCTGAGGGACCCTCTGGCCCGGGTTTTGATGAAACCAGGCCTCGGGGGTTGTTTGTGTTGTTGTTATGAGACTGGCATGTGCCTGTGGTACAGACACCAGCTCAGCAAAAGCCTGTCTTCTCACTAGAGCTGGGAGTCCTGGACCCTCCACACTGTCACCCTGGTGGGGGGAGTCCCGGACCCTCCACACTGTCTCCCTGGGGCGGGGGGAGTCCTGGACCCTCCACACTGTCACCCTGGTGGGGGGAGTCCCGGACCCTCCACACTGTCACCCTTGAGGGGGAGTCCCAGACCCTCCACACTGTCACCCTGGTGGGGGGAGTCCCGGACCCTGCACCCGTTCGGGGGGGAGTCCTGGACCCTCCACACTGTCATCCTTGGGAGGGAGTCCTGGATCCTCCACACTGTCACCCCGTTGGAGGGGGGAGTCCCAGACCCTCCACACTGTCACCCCTAGTGGGGGAGTCCCAGACCCTCCACACTGTCACTCCGGCGGGGAGTCCTGGACCCTCCTCAGTGTCACCTCGGGGACCTCCCTCATCGCACTGGAACTCCAAACTGGGCAGACGTTCTTGGTTACCTGCTGCGTGTGGCTGGGTTGGCAGTGCAGAGGAAAACGAGCTGTGCTGGGGTCCCCAGTGACTGAGGTTGGAATCAGGGGATGTGGCAGCAGTGGAGACACTGGCAAGCTCGGGACAGCCCAAAGCTCGGGAAACTTGGGAGTTTAGTGGGTTCTGCAGAGCGTGGGCTTTTGTGGTGGGTGAGCCCAGGAGGGAAGGGACCTGCCCTGGGCCCCTCAGCTGCTGGAGCTGTGGGTGCAGGGTGAGCAGCTGTGTGGACCCATGCAGGGCGTGCTGTGGGGCAGGGGCCAGAGCTGGAGGAAGAGGCCGAGGTGGGGCTGTACTGGGCCGTCACCCAGTCAGCCTGGGGGCGAGGGTTCTCTGGCCCTTTTCTGTCTTCCAGGAGGAAAGGAGCTCTCTGTGTCCCACCTGCCGCCTTGACGCTGATGCCTTGGGGTTTTGGGGGCAGTGGGTTTCCTTGTGCTCAGGCGGGGCAGTGCCCTCCTGTGGTTCAGGGCCAGCCTGGCCTCCAGGCCTGAGCACCACCTGCAGAAGGGTTTTCAGACGGGTGTGAGCGTGTGGGGGTGCCATCACGGGAGAATTCTGGTTCCCCTCCAGCCCTGCGTGCCATCTTGGCGGCCTGTCCCCAGCACTGGTGGGGCAGGCAGGAAGCTCCCGGCCTGGGATGGGCACAGACGGGGCATGGGCTGTGAGTCCCTGCGGCTCCGAGCTACCCCTG